GTGAAGGAGGGGGCTCTGATGTGAAGGAGGGGGCTCTGATGTGAAGGAGGGGGCTCTGATGTGAAGGAGGGGGCTCTGATGTGAAGGAGGGGGCTCTGATGTGAAGGAGGGGGCTCTGATGTGAAGGAGGGGGCTCTGATGTGAAGGAGGGGGCTCTGATGTGAAGGAGGGGGCTCTGATGTGAAGGAGGGGGCTCTGATGTGAAGGAGGGGGCTCTGATGTGAAGGAGGGGGCTCTGATGTGAAGGAGGGGGCTCTGATGTGAAGGAGGGGGCTCTGATGTGAAGGAGGGGGCTCTGATGTGAAGGGAGTGGGCTCTGATGTGAATGAGGGGGGGCTCTGATGTGAATGAGGGGGGGCTCTGATGTGAAGGGAGTGGGCTCTGATGTAAAGGGAGTGGGCTCTGATGTAAAGGGAGTGGGCTCTGATGTGAAGGAGGGGGCTCTGATGTGAAGAGGGACTCTGATGTAAAGGTGAAAGTCCATGGTCCCATTGCACTCCTGACCGCCAAATCCCTTTGATGAGGGGGCTCTGATGTGAAGGGGGGTACTGATGTGAAGGGAGGGGGCTCTGATGTGAAGGAGGGGGCTCTGATGTGAAGGAGGGGGCTCTGATTTGAAGAGGTAACTCTGATGTGAAAAGAGGGGAGTGGGCTCTGATGTGAAGGGAGTGGGCTCTGATGAGAAAGGGGAGCCCCATTTTTTGTGTTTTTGCATGGGGTCCCCCTTAAAAAGCATACTAGACCCCTGTCTGGGATAAAGGACTGGAGATGGATTTTGGAGGGGACACAAATGGTTTTTACATTGTAGACTGGGGTGTCTGGTGGTTTTGCACACTTTTAAAGGGTGTCATGACTGAAAAAGGTTGAGGCTGCTGTATTGCTCTGTACATCTGTGATTGAATGGCTCAGTCTCGGAGTCTCCGGAGGCACGGCAATTATTCTGCTGAGAGTTTCCTAAGCTGGCGCTGCCATGGCACCGTGTACACAATGGAGGGTGATGGGAGACTCATACCTGTGTGCCCGGCGTCTCTGCCCCCCTATTGTTTACCTGCTGTCTTAGCAGCATTACATCAGCGACTCTTCATGGTGACAGTGAGGAGTCCATTGAGAATTAGGAGGAGACAACTCGAGGCAGATGTAATAGACAAAATTTAAAGAGCAACTTTACTCAAATCAAGGCGTCATTCTCTCTAAGGCAATAAATATGAAACAGAGGGAAGGGAAGCTCGAGAAACAAACACAAATTCTATAACACGGGATTCTGTTAATAGCAGGAAAACTGTTCTATCAGTAAAATAATGGAGATGAATGACGGTCCGCTTTACAGCTATTTCAAATGCTGATGAAATCACTTACAATGGATGCTGCTCCTGGAAGTGGATCTGGATTCATTATTGAAAACATTCTGAGAGTTTAATTGCAGCTCTGCAATCAGTAAAACTTCATTAAAGCTGAACTCCAGGAAGGATCTATTTTTTAAATGTACATTGGGCCAGCTAGGCTACATGTAATGACTCATGTGTCACATCTGCAGGGCGGCCGGGGATGCTGAAATTGAGTAGCAGTCTGTGCTACATACAGTAATAGAGAGGAGGGGCGGATGACATTATGATTGCCATCTTGTCCAGTCAGAGAACACCTTATACTCATTAAAAGAAAATTACAAAATGTTTGCTCAATGGTGGAAGTACGGGACCGAGCAACGCCCTGGCTTTCCAGCAGCACCCAGAACAGGACAGCACTGACTATATGTAGCCATGAATGGCAGTGCAACACACCGACTCATGTAACATGCATTAAAGGAGAGTAAAATGTACTCTTCCCAATACCTGGAGCTGGCATGGGACACTGCAACCATCACATGCCGGCCCTAAGGCCTTGTTCACACCAAGCGCGGAGCAGGTGCAGAGCAGATCAGTTGCATCAAAACTGCTTCCAATGTATTCCAATGGTATTTTTTGCTCCAGTTCACATCGCAGCGTGCAGTTCCAGAGCAGGTGAAAAAACTGCAGCAGGCCCTATTTTAACTGCTCTGGATCTGCAAACGCATCAAAAACGCATGCAAATGCCTGGAACGCTCTGAAAGCCCATTTTAAACTTTAAAAAATATATATATATTTTTTTTTAGCCAAAAACGCGTCAAAAACGCATCTAAAAGACAAGCGTGCGTGTGCAGAAACCTGAACGGATCTGCTCTGCATTTGGTGTGAAGAAGGCCTAAATACCAAGAGCTGATCAGTGAGCTCTCAGTCTCCTCCCTGCAGAAGGCAGTGACTGACGGTCATCGCAGGGATCCGCCCTCCCCTCACTATTCTTCCAGTGCTCATTGGAGGGACAGACAAGGGAGGGGGCGGGCACAGCAGGCTCTGGCTCTAGAGAGGCAGAGCCAACTGTCAATCAGCCAGCCAGGTGGATCGTTCCCGGCTGCAGTGTGGCTCTTTAAAAGCAGATCAGCAATGACAGCCCCCCCCCAACCCATATTTATGTTCAGGCTGGTTCCATGGAAGTACTGTGCCATACATATCTATTACACATCCATATGAACCAGTCCTGAGCTTGATCCATCTGGGTAATGATTGTGAGGTTTATTATATTGTAATATTATTGTTATGTATTGCAGAGATGAAAGAGCTCATGTTATGAAAACATCAGCATTCCAGGGTGCCGAGGAATCAAGTTTTTCCCAGTCTGTTCTCTTTCAGAGCGCGGTGTAGAAAGTCTGGAACGGTGTGTGTGTGGATACACATACTCTGACTACTTCAGCTGTTATACCTGTGGCATCAAGAGTAGCCCTTTCCTCCCAGTTGCATTGTCCCTGGCCCACCCCTTCCATTCATTATATTTCAGTTCTTTCAGTCATGGGGGTTCTGCACGTGGGCTTTATCTAGGGTGGTCTGCATGCAAGAGTAGCCTGTTTAGAAGCACCCGCTCCTCCAGACTGACATCCACCTATCGAGACATTTCAATATTTGCATACCTCCTCCCAGAAGCCAGCTCACCGCTTGCATCATAGCTTAGGGTTCTTGAGAGAAGTATTGAGGCGGGGTGCTGTGATGTATTCAGGAAGCTATGGACAGCACCCTGCTAGCACCTCTCACCAGTCATGATCTGCCCATATTAACATCACTGGGTGTAAAATAAGGTATGTAATGAATGTAATTAGGAAGGTGATGAGTGAAGTAAAGGGGAAACTAGGGAAGGTGACATAAAAGTAGATTCAAATTCAGTTGTAAGCTCAGGAAAAAAGAACTGAGCACAAGTTACAGCCAGAAAATATACAAACTAGTTAGGGATTAATCTGATATTTAATGATCAGAGAACACAATTTGGAAGCTATTAGGACTCTTTAATAACCCTTTTGCTATTCTTCTCCTTTCTGTTAGCGCAAATGACAGAAGGATAATAAAGTGAGCTAACAGAGAAGTACATTTATATATCTTCTATGTTATTCCTTATGCTATAAATAACAGTTGCATTTTATTGTTTATTATGACTTAATGTGCAAACCGTGCATCCTATTTATATTAGTTTGCCTCTGTCTTTCCCTCTAATATACACTATATTGCCAAAAGTATTGGGGCACCCCTCCAAATCATTGGATTCAGGTGAAATTTCCTTGCTACTAAATATTTCACGGTCACCTGTTAGTTGTATTATAACAAAGTGGAAGCAACTGGGAACAACAGCAACTCAGCCGCGAAGTGGTAGGCCACATAAAATGACAGAGCGGGGTCAGCGCATGCTGATGCGCACAGTGCGCAGAAGTCGCCAACTGTCTGCAGAGTCAATAGCTACAGACCTCCAAACTTCATGTGGCCTTCAGATTGGCACAACAACAGTGCGTAGAGAGCTTCATGGAATGGGTTTCCATGGCCGAGCAGCTGCATCCAAGCCTTACATCACCAAGTGCAATGCAAAGCGTCAGATGCAGTGGTATAAAACACGCCGCCACTGGACTCTGGAGTGATGAATCACGCTTCTCTGGCAATCGGATGGACATGTCTGGGTTTGGTGGTTGCCAGGAGAACGGTACTTGCCTGACTGCATTGTGCCAAGTGTAAAGTTTGGTGGAGGTGGGATTATGGTGTGGGGTTGTTTTTCAGGGGTTGGGCTTGGCCCCTAAGTTCCAGTGAAGGTAACTCTTAAGGCATCAGCATACCAAGACATTTTGGACAATTTCATGCTCCCAACTTTGTGGGAACAGTTTGGGGATGGCCCCTTCCTGTTCCAACATGTCTGCGCATCAGTGCACAAAGCAAGGTCCATAAAGACATGGATGAGTGAGTTTGGAGTGGAGGAACTTTACTGGCCTGCACAGAGTCCTGACCTCAACCCGATAGAACACCTTTGGGATGAATTAGAGCAGAGACTGCGAGCCCGGCCTTCTCCTCCACCATCAGTACCTGACCTCACACATGCGCTTCTGGAAGAATGGTCAAACACTCCCATACACACACTCCTAAACCTTGTGGACAACCTTCCCAGAAGAGTTGAAGCTGTTATAACGGCAAAGGGTGGGCCAACTCAATATTGAACCGTACGGACTAAGACTGGGATGCCATTAAAGTTCATATGCGTGTAAAGGCAGGCCTCCCAATACTTTTGGCAATATAGTGTAATTTTGTCCAGGCAGCTCTAGGATGTGCACAGCCCTCCTGGACAATGTTAGTTGATGTCATTATGGCTGGTAACGCTCTGCTCTTTGGAAAAAGCAGTTTTTCGGATAGGATGTCTCATCATGTGATGTAATCATCATGGGGATGGTTTAAAAAATTCCACTCAGCCATACATTGGCCAAATGCCATTCACATGGAATTCCGGCCACTAGATGGAGCCAGGGAGCTATTCCTAATTCCTATTCTTCTCAGCTCCATCTAGTGGCAGAAATGCCATGTGAACTTCATTTGCCCAGTGAATGGCTGAGGGGAAGTTTTATAAATCTTCCCCTAGGGGTTTATTTGCTCTTTCATATTCTGATTTCTTGTTTTCTCTGCAGTCAGATGGGACGATTTAGGAAACACCTCTGCAGATTGGTGCTAGATTACGTTGATCAAAGGTATTCAAAAGAACTTGGAGACCACTGGCCTACCATCAGGTAAGTAAAGTGCACCTCGACTGTAAAATTAGGTCCCCTTTAATTACACAGTTCTGTACTAGGAAAGCAAGGTGTTGATCTGAATGGCTGAGGGCTAATTCACACCAGCCCCAGTGCGTTCCGGGCCGATTCGATGCCGGAACGCACTGGTTTGCATCCAGGCTGGCTCACGGGCAGGAGGGGGTGTGGCGATGCTCCCCCTGGCTGCAGTGCAATCGCTCGCACTGGAACACGTGCCTGTGTTCCGGTCCGGTGCGGTCAGAAAAAATTGTGCATGCAGCATTTTTTCTGACCGCACCTGACCAGAACGCAGGCATTGTTGTGCCCCGCGTTCTGGGGTGGGTGATCGCACTGCGGCCGGAGGGTGTAGCTGCAGTGCCATTGACTTTAATGCACTGCCATGCCCCATCCCAGAACGCAGTGAGCCGGCCGGGATGCAATCCAGTACGTTCCAGCACTGAATCGGGCCAGAATGCTCTGGGACCTGTGTGATCTAGCCCAGAAGATCTTACGTAACAGCTAGAAAAATAAGGCTGTGAAGCAGGGAAAGGCAACCTCAACACTGCAGCTGTTGTGGAAATACAAGTCCTATGATGCAGTGCAAGACACTGACAGCCACACACATGACTCCCAGAGTCACAAGCATGATGGGATTTGTAGTTTCACCACAGCTTGATTTCCAAGGCTGCCTATCCCTGCTCTAAAGCATCCGGTTTCTTTAAGTGAGCATGTGGGGCCCTGACATTAGCAGAATTTTAAAGTGGACCTATCACATAAGTCAGGGTAGAGGAATCACATTATTATTGAGCATGAAAAGATACCTCTCTCCTTCCCGTAATCAAGATACACCTCTCCCATTCTCTTTTATGTGATCTAAACCTTATGGAAGGGGTCACAGGGGTTTCAGGTTTCATTACTGGCTGTTCCCCTGTCAGGGAAGTTTGCTCTCAATACCTCTCCCTAATGCCACATAGGAAATGAGAAAGAAAGATCCAAATGGTGACACAGACAGCAATATACAGTCAACATCGGTCCTTCCCTACAGGATTCTCTCCGCAGGGGCATAGAAAATAGTAATAACCTCCATTAAATCTCTTCTTTTTTTTACTTGTCTTCAGGGAGGTGCTCACAGACCCTGGACTCTGGCAGTATGCTGTTCTTTTAAACAATTACCAGAACACTGTGGAGACAGAGAAGCATTTGCTTACACTAGGATACCATATATTGTCCAATGGGAACTGTTCTAACAACGGAGAACAGATAAAATGCTATATTAATGGGAAACCTGGAAAGTTTCCTTCTCAACGACATCAGACTGGAAAGATCAAAGACTACTATATACTTAGTGCCTCGTCACTTCTCCCAGTGCTGACGCTAGATGTCAAGGATGGTGAGATGGTCTTGGATATGTGCGCTGCTCCTGGAGGAAAGTCTGTAGCAATTCTGCAGTATGCATCACCAGGTAACTGCCATTGATTTCTACTGTATATTTTTTTTTTATACATGCCAGCAGGCAAGTATCAGAGACTAGGGAACATGCCACAGTAGATGGCCAGACATTGGGGACATGCTGCAGGAGACAGCCAGAGATTGGGGACATGCCACAGTAGATGGTGAGATACATGGGACATGATGTAGGAGAAGACCAGAGAATGGAAACACGCTGCAGAAGATGGTTGGAGACTGGGGACATGCCACAGGAGATGGTGAGATAATAGGGACATGATGCAGGAGATGGCCAGAGAACAGGAACATGCTGCAGGAGATGGTCAAAGACTGAAGACATGCTGCAGGAGATGGTCAAAGACTGGAGACATGCTGCAGAAGATGGCCAGAGACTGGGGCCATGCCACAGGAGATGGTGAGATACAAGGAACATGATGCAGGAGATGGCCAGAGAATGGAGACATGCTGCAGGAGACGGACAGAGACTGGGGGCATGCTGCAGGAGACGGACAAAGACTGGGGACATGCCGCAGGAGACGGCCAGGGACTGGGAACATGCAACAGTAGAGGGTCAGAGAAAGTGGACATGCTAGAGTAGATGGCCAGAGACAGTGGACATGTTGCAGGAGATTGGAAGAGGTTGATGATATGCAACAGCAGATGGCCACAGACATGGGGACATGCTACTGTAGATGGTCAGATACTGTGGACACTCTGCAGTAGATGGTGAGAGACTGGGGACATGCTACAGGAGATGGTCGTAGACAGTGGACATGTTGCAGCAGATTGCTCCACATTTGATGGTACCCACAAGTGTTTATGACTAAAATCCCTTATATAACCTATATTCATTTAATCATGTCACTGTCCACCTAACCTAATTTCCTTATGACTATTTTTTTTCTTATTTACACACATGGAAAGTATGGTAACATTGTTTACAAGTCTTAACCACTTCTAGGCCCCTCTGACCCAGCTCCAGCAGTGATGTCAGTGTATCAGTCACGATGCGACAGGCTCCCCCTTCCCTTTCGGAGAAGGAAGAAATGAGGCCATAAGAAAGAGGCAATGAAATGTACTAATATACAGTTCATGCCATAACATAAATACTGTATGTGTTTTCTTGGTATCCACAATTGAATAAAAGTAGTATACGTCCTTAGGCAGGGGTGAAAAAATTAATATGGAATTCAGGAGCCAGTCTGTCTAATCCAGTAGCCAGCAGGGTTTATTAGGAGTCAGCTCCATTGACAACAATTAGGGAAAACCTCAAGAGTTTAAAAAACAAAACTTTAAAATCTGTTGACACAACTTCAAGTTGTGCACAGATCATACTGGCATGTTTTCCAGATAGCATCCACTTGTTAAGGACCAAGTAGTCGGCCATTTCCATACAGTTGCAATCAAATACTCTATACAATAATCTACATAAACAACAGGTAACATAATAAGCATACAGTATATACTGTACAATGTCAAAAACATGTATTTGCATACATATAGGAAAAAGTACATTGTGTTCTTTTAGCTTCTATTATCTACAAAATGTTCAAATAAGACAAGACTCTGAAAGACAGAATGCCACCTCAGTAGCCTGCACAAACACTTAAAGCCACAAGCCAATCTGCAGACACCGTAAAAATGGGAGTCATCGGATTCACCAGAAGTGAACCTCGCAACAGTGATAGCCCAGAAAATATCCCCTTATCCCAGATGGAAACTTGCCAACAGGGCAAAGCCAGTCAGCATCGGCACCCGGTGCAAAAATAACTCAATGGGTCCTATGTGCAAAAGGAGAGGACTCTCCCTTGCCACCCCCACCCTGCACTTCTTTTAAACCTGCTAGCCCCACCATGTGAATTATGATTTTTTTTTTCCATTAGGCGGGGACTGGCATTTGTGTGCCAAGGTGCGCTGCAATCCTGTTTGGAACACACACTTTCCACCTGTGCATCAGTTGAAATCACTGACTCTGTCCATCCCCTAGTTGCATCACCTGGGGACCAGAGTGACTTATAATGCCAGAAGGCAAAGTTTTTACTGCTGTCTGCGCTGTGCTGTTCCAGAATGGGGCAAAAAGACAGAAATGAAAACCTGCCAGAAGAAGAAGAGTCTGCGGGAACCGGTCTAAAAGCCCATAGGAAACGGGGATCATGTAAATATATCTGCTTAATTCCAGCCCCTAGACCAAAATCCGCACCCTTAATAACTAGGGATGCACCCATATATAGGCTGCCAAAACATATCGGCCGAAAATGGCACTTTTGGTGAAATGCCAATCTAGCGGTGCATCCTATTCTCTCCTCCCCGCAGATCAGAGGAGAGCAGTGTGGGCGGAGACAGCCAGCGCTGTCACAGGAGGCTGAGCTCTCCCCCTGCACTGCTCGCTCAGCCTCCTGTGACAGCTGTCAGGAAGGAGAGCGGTACAAACACTCAGTGATCGCTGAGTGTTTGTACATAATTGAGGACATAGTATGGTTAGTATATTCTCAATTATGGATGAATGGGAAGTGATCTACATCACCTCCAGTTCATTCATGATTGTAGTTATAGTAAACATACTATGTCCTCATGTTATGAATGAACAGGAACACTCAGTATAGAGGATTCCTGTTCATTTATAACAGGGGATGCAGAACAAGAGATTGAGGACTCTGTGTCCTCAATCTCTTTTTCTATTTTAAAAGGGAATATCAGATATCAGGGGTCGGTTTAGATCCCTGATATTTCCCCGAAGCCCCTAAAAGTAAAGTTAAAAATACAAATATTTAATAAAAGTAAATAAAATACAATGGTACCTTGGTTCAAGAACGCTTCTGTCCGTGAACAATTCGGTTCGCGAACAGAAAGTTTGGCAAAATGTTGCTTCCGTTCCCAAACTCCGCATCGGGTGACGAACACAACCGCAGCTATCTTCCCTGCTCTGACACATGGTTGTGGCGTCCTCTAGTCGAGATCGCGGCCTGATCAAAGTTTGATTCGGTTCGCAACCAATTCGGTTCACGACAATCGTGGAACTAATTAAGTTCGTGAACCAAGGTACCACTGTTTAATTTTTTTTAAAAGTTTATAAAAAATAAATAAAAAATAAAATATTGTCAAAAATTTGAAAAAGTTAGTAAAAAAACATTTTCGGTTTCGGCCTGACATTTTTTTTTTCATTTAGGTTTTAAAAATGTCATTTCGGTGCACCTCCATTAATAACCCTTGCAGCACAGGGGTGGTCCCACTACAAGGGTACATTTTTTTTATTTGCCCAGTTAATTTCTTATTTAAGTAGCTGTTGGAAAGGTTTATTCTGAAACAGCCGTGCAGATGCAACATTTTGTATTCTGTATGCATTGGATTATATGTAACCATTTGGGCAGTAGTACCTTCTAATTAGGATAATTTTCTCGTATTTATTGCAGCTAATTACATGCAGCTTGCTATGAGATTTATGTTCTGTATATAAATGTTTATTTCTTCAGTCGTTCCTTTTTACTTTGTACGGCTGTGATAATGACCCCACTTTATCCGCTGTCTCTCTGTAGGTTGTATAGACGTATCAAGATCTTAGAAATGACATTTTTGAGAGAGCGATAGTGGAGTCAGTCAGGCGCATGGGAGACAATAGTGCTTATCTAGCTGCCAGAATCAAGTCACTTGTCAGAATCATTGCTCTCCGCTCACCCAGGCTTCTGATAACTGCTTCCGAAGTGCATCTTTCCAGCTGTGATTGATGTTACATAATGTCAGGCCAGAAATGCTTAGTAGGATGTTATGGGGGAAATGAGCTGAAGGAGACATGACCACTTCCACCATCTGCATCAGCACACTCTGTTTTTCCCTGCGTAATGGAGAAACTTAACAGGCATTTTACCTGGGCTTAATTGTTTTTTCTGGCTCCTTAGTGTATCAAAATTCCTTAAAACAACACAGTCATCGCTTTTTTTTTATTGCAATAAAAAGAGAAGTTATTGAAGAATTGAAGGATAAAGCTGGCCATACACTGGCTGAATCTAGGATGATTCCCGCTGAATCAGACAAAATTCGAGCCGCGGGGGACCCTGACAGCACCACCCAGCTCAATTAAGCTGGCTGAAAATTCTCAGCCTGAATGTGACTGCATCCTACCACGGGTGGTGCGGAAGTCTGAATACAATAGCAGGCCGTTCAGATCCCTTCATCTGTGCTGCTTAGCGTAAATAAAATCTACAGAAATCTTGGAGGTCTATTTATATATTCATCATTTACCTAGCTTATGTGCCAGGGGAACTGCAGATACATTAATTCTGTTCGAGTTATCCAACTGTTGCTGTTAAAGTGACACTAAACTCTAAAATACATTGCAGTACCCTATTAACAAAAATGTATCTTATTTGTATCACTCAGCTGTAGATCCTCAAACCATCTCTGAATTGGTGCTGACACTGTCCTTCCTTCTGGAGGGGGGCTACTTTTGTTCCCCATGGTCCCTGTGTGTGTTGTAAAGTAGCCACCGCTCCATGCTCACTCCTGTGATTGACTACAATTTCATGTTTAGTTACTAATTTGTATTGAGATTGTAGTCCACAGGGGTGTGGAAATGTTTAAAAAAAACGACTTGCCCAAGGACTAAAGCAGGGGCCCGATCTACTTGTCCTGATACAAAAAAAGTTATTTTAACCAAAACCGTATTTAGCAGTGCACAGGGACCATGGGGAAGAAAAGTAGCCACTCTCCAGAAAGAAGGACAGCACCAATTAAGAGATGGTTTGAGGATCTACATACGAATAAGATACATTTTTGTTAATCATTAAGGTACTTAAATACATTTTTAAGATTTAACTCCCGAGTTTAGAGTCACTTTAATTACCCCTCTGGTCGAATGCTCTTCAGTAGGTTCTATTGTGAAACAGGGAAATACTTCATTATGGTCACTAGATGGACCTAAGCATCAAAGGAAATAAATACATAGTACTGAGGTATTATGTTAAAATGTCTACTTAGGGGATAGCAATGGTTACATTTATTTGCTTATTCTGTCCAGCGGTCCCTTGAATAGTAATATTGTATCAGGTTTCCGATGTATTTATTTCTTATTGTACTCGGCTCCATCTAGTGGCCACAATGTGGTATTTCCCACATTCACTCTGTTCTTTATGATCTATAGAAGAATATTCAACCAGAAGAGAAATTACATTAAGAACATTTGTTTTGCTCCATTCTTACAACAGCTGGTTAACACACACAGAATAAATGTATCTGCATTTTTAGTGGATGAATAAGCTACATGATTTTTATTTTTTTAATAAATGGGTATGGGTAGCCTATGTCCACACCAAGTGACAGTTCAGTTACAGGGGGAGTTTGCTGGGCTGAGGTACCCTCTGGCTTGCTGGGTCCAGCACGGCAATCTTCCAGGTGTTCCCGATTCTCTTCTCACTCCCTTTGGAGCTGTCGGAGTTGGTGCCCACCTCATGATGTTCCCTTTGCTCCTGCTGCATTCTGTATAGTATAAAATCAAATTGCGGAGTTTATGGATGGCGCAGTACTTTCCAACAGGGATTCTCTTTATGCAGCCTGTAGTAACTTGCAGATCTTGTAGAGTTGTGTACTGAGCGTGCGGGTTAGCACAGCGCTGGAGACTGTCTGGAGGACACAGACAAGGGGCCTGAGGACTGAGACCAGAGCAGTGGTGCAGCAAGATCAAACCAGAAGGCTGTATGTACGTCTTTTTGTGACGAGAAATGTGGAACAACTCCTGCAAGGGCAACTGCATTATTGTTTGAGATATTTCTGTTAACAAAAGTGAGCGAGAAATCCCTGAAACAAGGATTTAGGCGAGTGGATCCGTCCTTGATGCTCTAATATTTGAAGCTAGTTCTCACAGTAGTCATTTTCAATGTTCCTTAAATCTGCAACTTTCATTCAAATAATAATTGGTGATCCTGCCACAATGGTCGTTGTGCAGGAATGCCCTGTTATGGGGCAACACTCTGTCTTTGTCTCCTAGTTGTTCTCTAGCATTGTTACCCAGGCACATGCTTTCCCACTTGGGACTACAAGCAGCTGTACTGATGCATATTACACAGACATGACCCACTGGTGTCACTATCAGGAAGCCTGCCCTGATGTGCAGCAAGTGGCTGCAAAGAGGCTGCAGGAGATAGAGCAGCTTAGATCCCACAAAGGATGGAGAAGGAGAAACAAAATGTGGCAATAGCTCAAATGCTGCAAACGAATGTCATTCTGATAGGGTTTACGTTTGCTTTGAATGCAGAAAAAACTTCCCCACTTAGTAATTTTCTTTTTATAGCCTTGCATTGTGTGATACGTGTCCATTTTAGCTGGAAACTATGCTTTGTGGAGTTCCCCTTTAAGACTAATGAATCCTATCGATGATCTTTTCAGTATAAGAAGGAAATAACTATAAAACTGCAAAACAAGATTGCTCCCAGCAATGTCAGTTTCTGGTGTTTAATGTGCCTCTGAAACGCTTTTCTCAGGACTTCTTCATTGTAACGAGCCGGATGCACACAGATCAATGTGGCTGAGGAAGACACTGGAATCCTTTGTACCGCCGTCCCATATGAATGTCCTCTCAACTTCCCAATTAGATGGAAGGTTAATAGGGAAATTATACGCCAGCTCTTATGACAAGGTGGGTATTGTTTTATGGCAGAATATGTCGTAAGATTAACACTAACCTAACTACAAGGTATATTGCTCTAGAAGAGCCACAAAATACTTCATTTATAAGGTCACGTTCAGACAATCAGCCTTTTGTTTATGACTTTTAATGACTGGTGTGTGTTTTTGTTGGGGCTTAAAGTGTATGTGTCACAGTCACTTACCTTCCTCTCCCTAGCACTGATACCTCTACTATCTCCCATGGACAATTCTGGGTTTTTGATGGGACTGTCGCAGCTGTATCACAAGACGCATCATGTGATACCGACATCTAGTTAAGGTCGAGCAGGACACGCTGTCCCATCTTGAGCATTGTGTCAGTATCCTTACAGACCGCTGTGCTTGAGTTCCCTGATACCAGTCTGACTTGCTACCCTGTACTGCCTTGTTACCAGTGCACCCAGCTACCAGTACAGACTTACTACCATTGCACCCTGCATCTAGACTACCCAACTATCCGTACAGATTTGCTACCAGTGCACCCTACAACCAGACTACCCAGCTACCAGTACAGATTTGCTACCAGTACACCCTACTGTTCTAATGACAGGAGTTCTCTATTCTCTTCTGATGTTGAAAGCGCCAAATCCCGAATATCGCAGAAGAAGAGTCTTCCTATAATACAGACAGAGTTACTCAGGTATAGCGCAAGACATAAAGTTCATTTTAGAGATAAGCATTAAATTCTTGTATGAAAGGAGGCATCCAGATTCAAATGAAATGTGGCCATTCCTCATCTCCTTGTTCATCAATCTGACACCTCTAGGGCTGCAACCAACGAATTGATTAATTGATAATAATCGATAATAAGAATAGTTGTAACTATTCTCAGTATCGATTAGTTGGTTGGACCCCCTAGCTCTTTCCTCCACGCTGGAATACCTCAGAATACCTTAAGGCTGTGACACACTACACGCGGACCAGAGCGCAGCGGTGGCGTGCTGCCTTCCACTGCAGTATGTCATGTAATTTTCTCTCCGGCACCTCAGCTTGCGAGAGCTCACATAGCTGAGTGTGCCGAGCTGAAACATTTCATCTTCATCCAATCAGCTTGCGCGTATAAACCCAGACTAAAAATATCTCTATAGGCAAAGTCTGGTGTCAAATATTTCTGATTATCCAGAGATTTCTAATGCTAGATGAAGAATAAAAGATTTAAAGCTACTCGTCAGACACCACCCACCCTTCAGGCATAGAATATAAAAAAGCTACCTAAATGCTATATTTACTTACCTAAATTTGTGGTCACATGATGTTCTTGTCCTCAGTCTTTTCTCATTTTACTTGTGTACTTGTTTGGGTGTCCACCTTGCTACCTGCATGATGTGGACACTTCTTATTGCCTATCCAGCAGCAGGGCTCTTTTGGGATCCAGAAGAAGAGTTTGGAGCATTGATGTCATCAAGAAGGTACCACTGAGGAGCGGCTGGCTTGCTTACATTTGCATCGCTGGATTAGTATTGGGTTTTGTATATAGCTTCCTGAAAACATCATAGCGCCCTGTCTTAGTACTCCACTCGAGAGCCCTCTGCCATGATGCAAGCAGTGGGCTGGCTCTTGGGAGGAGGTATGCAAATATCTAAATGCCTCGATGGGCAGATGTCAGTCTGGGGGAAAGGGCATTTGTAGACTGGCTGCATTTGCATGCGTAGCTCCCTAGGTAACACCCACATACTGTCTAATTCTCTTCCACCCTAATTGAAAGAACTGAAATCTAATGAATGAAAGGAGTGGGCCACGGACAGTCAGGCTGGGGAGAAAAGTTCTGGACGATGCTGGATAATGTCAGGAAATGAGGTCGGGCTCTATCTGACTTGCAGCAGCTTCTAATGCACATTGTAAGAAGCTCCCAGTGTGCAGTGAAATCGGAGTAAATTATTTCAGTACAGGAGAGGAGCCGTTATGACTGTACAAGACTGAAGAAAAAGCTGGAGTTCAGCTTCAAGAATGGAGATTCAGGTCCATTACTGACTGCTTCTCTTAGAGGCAGAGTTAGGACATTTTAATATTATAACTGTTACATTAAAACCTTATTGTATGATTCCTAAAGGTGGGTTTTCAACTTAAAAGAGAACTATGGGGTAAGTGTTTTTCCTCATAGTTCTCTTAAGGGTCACGGGAGGACATAAACTAGCGTCCTCCCGTGACACAAAGCTCAGTATATAGCCGGCTACAGCTCGCGGTATACTGAGACCGCCGCAGCCGGGACCGATCTCAACAATGCTGTCGTCATCCACCCAGCTCCGTGAGTGACAGCGGGCTCTGCCTACGTAGAGGCAGAGCCAGCTGCGACCGCCCCCTCCGCCGTCCGTCCCTCCAGACAGTGGTGGAGGATCGGAGGTGGGAATCCCTGTGGGGAGCGCTGACTGACAGTCACAGCTCTCTGCAGGGAGATGATCGAAAAGTGAGCAAGCAACAGTATGTGTTCGCTCACTTCCCGATCGATAGAGCCGACCTGTGACAGTTTCATTGTCACAGGTCAGCTCTAACCTTGAGGATGAGTAATTTTCACTCACCTCATAGTTCTCCTTTGAAGAAAGTTGCAAAGTCCTCCATGTGGACAGCTGCATATTTTAGAGTATTTATGTTGTCCCTCACCATCACTGTAACCTGTACAATTGTTTTTTTTTTGTCCCCCATGTTGATGGGTAAGCTGCTGAAGCAGAGCACTGTTACTTTTGTGTTAATTACTGAAATAAACACCTCACTGAACGTTAAGTTATCTTTCACACATCAGCAGTACATCAGTATGCTGGTTGTGAGTGAGATTTGTAGCTTTAGGGTGGCTGTACACAGGCTGATAGTCATAAGCAGTGTGCCTGATTCCAGCATTGCTTGCAATTTCTGCATCAAATATCATCAAATAGTGCATGATTTATGTAGAGGACATGACTCCTGGAAGCCTTTGTTATCAATCACAGAGGTTTTTTTGCATGTCAGAAATGTCTCTTATATATATATAAAGAATCAGTCTACCCCCCATGGTTATGCTGTATCCTCTCTCCCTGTAACCCTAGCTCTCACACCAACCTCAATCCTAACCCTTACACTGAACCTCTCTGAACCTCCCATGGTAAACCTCTCTGTAAACCTAACACACCAACTTTCTCTGTAACCCCAACCATCACACTGACCCCTACACTGACCCACTTTGTAACTCTAAACCCTTTAACCATAACCCCACAATGGCCTTATCTGGTATACCAACTCTCACATCGACCCTTTCTGTAACCCTAACCCTCAGACTGACCCTGTCTGCCCGTTTAATCCTTACACAGACCCTCTCTGTATCCCTAACCTTTACATTGAACATCTCTGTATCCCTCACACTGAACCTCCCTGGATCCATCATGGTAAACCTCTCTGTAAACCTAACCCTCACACCGACTTTCTCTGTAACCCCAACCATCACACTGACCATGACTCACTTTGTAACCCTAAACCTCAAACAGACCATCCCTGTAACCCTAATCTCACGATGGCCTTCTCTGCTATACCTAACCCTCAGACTGACCGTCTCTGCCCCTTTAATCCTTACACAAACCCTCTCTGTATCCCTAACCTTTACAGCAACCTTCTCTGTAACCCTCACACCAACCTTCTCTGTAATTCTCACACTTACCTGCTCTATAACCCTCATACCTATCCTCTCTCTGACCCTCACAGGGACCCTCTTTGTAAGCCTAACGCTCATACTGGCCCTTTTCGTAAAACTAACCCTCACACTGACCTTCTCTGTAACCCCCCTGGGCCAAAAATACCAGTCCTGCAAAAATGTATTTATTTGGTTTTCAGGTACCCTTCGATATCTACTGTAGGAATTGTTCTACAGATTAATGTTTTATCTGATGACAGGGTATTTTTTATTTCTATTTACTGATTTTTTTTAATGTATAATATGTCATACCCAGTCTAATTCTGCACAGCAGTGAGCAGATCACATGCCTTTTCCACATTATTGGCATTTTGTTGAATTTATTAAAGCTGCCACTTCCTGCTTGGATTCTGATGGATTCCGAGTCTTTGTTTTACAACGCTCAGAATATCTGCTGCCAAGTGTTTAGAGGCTGAAAATATATTTCTGAATATATAGATCTCTGAATATAATACAATCAAGCCACCGAGGATTTTGAACAATGGTTATTTTTTTTTCCTGCATAAAATGAAAAATGCTGAGTTCAAAACCATTCTGATTGATCACAGAAATACTCGCCTGTCTTATTGGTCTAATGCATCATGTCATTTATTTCATAAGGAGGAATCCATCAAAAGCCTCAGCCCTCCTTTATAATTTTCTCACTCTAGACTTGACATGAAAAATAAAATCTGTGAAGCTGGAGTAAAGCCGAGGCATACATCATTGTTACCCTGTGTGTACTGTGAGGGTGTCATTGTGAATGCTTGGCCGTGGCTGGAGTAGACAAGACGGTACAGTTATTGTAAATACCCTCTAGATCTTATCTCAAAAAACAGCTGTCTCCAAAATGTTGCACTCCTCCCCTCCTGTGTTAATCATCCCCCATACACTTACCTTCAGTTATTGATCTTACTAAACCATATAGTTATAAAAGTGCCTTAGTATTAGTTCATGAATGTATCCTGCCCCTGGTTACACTTTGCTTTCAGCCAGAGCCATTTAATTCCCTCTTTGTCAGTGACCATACCAAGGAAGGATGCCTGCATTATGTGTTTACGACTAACTTTTCTGCAATTTATTCCTCCATAGCCCCAGTTTTAAAGTATATGTACACTCAATATCTATTTTACAGGACACAGGCAGATTCAGTGATTGCTGGGTACTATGTAGGTATCACCAGATAATTGGACGCTGGCCAGAGCTGTGACAACCCACATGTAACCCCCTCCTACTCCCAGAAATCCTTATTTTTTTTTGCTAGTGTCCTTAGGTGATGAATGCTCCTTCTGTGCTGAGTGGAGATGGGTACAATTCTGCTTTCCTTCTTTTCCTGTGATGTTTAAGCAACTTTGTACATCCAACCATGGTGGTGTCTTCACAGCTTTCAGGTGGGTGCACCATGGCAACAGCTTCGGGGACCGGAAGGACAGGAAATGAGCAGTCAGCCTCTAATCTGCCTTCATGCACTGGATCTGGTGTCAGAAGCACACCTTGGCACATAATGCGGTGTGTTGGGTTAGCTGCAGGGTGCTATACAAGTGCACGGTGTATATGCATCAGTGTGACGCCATCCCTGAAGACCCCTTCGGGCATATGCTAGTCTGAAGTGGGTGAAACTGAGAGCCATGGGGCTCCCCCCTTCATTCGGATAGACACTGATGGCTGGTGAGTCTCAGCCAATGTCCCCTTCCTTCTTGTGTCCTGGGACCCTATGGTGCCCTACAGGGGACCCAAAATGCAAAGGGGTTAAGGGGACAGCCAGCTCCACTGCTACCAATGGGTGGGG